AGCATCCAGTGTTGTTGTCTCATCAAAGGAAGAGAAAAAAAAAAGGAGCCTGGAGACAGCTTTGTGAATGTCTATCTGAGGCTGTGGCTTATCTGCCTCCTACTGTCAGCCATCTGTGGCTACAGGCTTTGTTTATTTAGAGTTCTCCTGGATGCATGCCCCTTTTTTTTTCTCCAGTATACAGCCCTATCCACCTTTTGCAATTGCAGTTTTTGGTTTTTATTTAGAGTTCATGTGGGAAGGTGCCACACATGCTCTCCTGTGGAGCATGCCACACTTTAGCTGCTGCTACAAGCCTTCCCTCTTCAAGCACACTGGGGGAGGTGGCACTTCTCAAGCCAGCTTGTTTATTTACAGTTCCTTGAGGGAGTGCCCCTCCCCCATTCTCTGGACCTCAGGGCGCCCTGCCCTCTTTGCTCTGTATCTTTTTTTTTTGGCTGCTTTTTTATTCAGTTTATTTTTTTCTCTTTTTTTTCCCCTGGGTGGGGGTCAGTCTGTCCAGGGGGCTATGTTGATCTGGCCCAGGGTTGTTTGTGGAAGTACCATATGCTGCTTAGCTCATCTGGTGGTCTGCTTCTCCCAAGCAGATTAGGCACTGGTGTCTGGCAGTGCAAGAGCCCTCTTGGTTTCTCCATTTAATGTGGAGTGAGGATGCTATGCATGGGCTGGGGATATGGAGGTGTTGGAGTTTTGCCTCTTGGTGGTTTTTCCTGCAAGGCGTATCTCCAGCATCTCTCCAAGATTTTACTTTAGGAAGCACACATTCTGCTTCCTCCCTCTAGTCGCCATCTTGGAATCTCCCCTTTATTTTCTTATCTTTAAGTTGTTGGCTTCATTTTTCTCTGATTTCAAAATTACCTTTGAATCCTTCTGATGAATTTATTAATTTTATTTATTAAACTATTCTGTTTTAATTTTGATTCCTTGTTAAGAATATAATTACTTTCAATTTCTATACACTCTCAGATTCTACTCTATAAGCTTATCTATTCTGCAGAACAAAGAATATCAACAGATTGAAGAGAACACAGAGAATGGGAGAAAATCTTTGGTAGTTATTCATCTAACAAAGGGTTAATATGCAGAATGTATAAAGAAACAAAAGTCAACAAAAACAATAATCCAGTGAAGATTGGATAAATGAACTGAAAGGTACTTCTCAAAAAAAGAAGTGCAAATGACCATCAAATATTGGAGCAATGTTCAGTATCTTTGTCCCTCAGGGACATGCAAGTAAAATTATATTGAGATTCCATTCTACCACAGATGCCATGGATGTTCTCAAAACATCAAAACCAATGACTGTGGATATGGAAACAAAGTAAACTTCACACAGTATTGGGAGGAAGGTGATTTAATAAAGCCCCTATGGAAAACAATATAGAATTTCATCAAAACTAGGATAAAACTAACCTGTGATCCTATGTACCACTCCTGGGTACAGATTTGAAAGAAACAATGTCAGGACAAAGAACAGATATTTGCACTCCCATGCTTGTTACAACACAATTCACAATAGCCCATATACATATTGTAAATATGTAGCGTTATAGACAGATATATGTATAGCTATATTAATTAATAATTAAGAATGAATTTATTTCCATAACAGAGAGCTGATAGTACTAAGGACACCATGTCAGGTGATATAATTTAGACACAGAAAGTCAAATGTATATTTCTCTCATATGCAGAAAGTTAAAGGAAAGTGATATGAAAATATAAGAGAGACTTTTAGAGAATGAGAGGAGGTCTGAAGAGAAAATAGAAAGAGCTACGTATAAGGAAATATTGAAGGGATGGAGGACGTGATAAATTCATGATATATGCATATGTAGAAATGTCACATTGTAACCCATTACATTTTACAATTAGAAAATGTTAATGAAATACAAGTGTATGAGGTGATAGATATGTAGTTAGCTTGATTTAACCATAGCATAATTTTACATAAATGTTTAAGAAAATTGTATACCATAAATTATAATGCACTGTTTAGAAATTAAAACAATTTTAGCAAAAAATTAATATGAAATTATTAGGATAAAAGAATGAAGCTAAAATTCACAATATAATATCAAATCTTATAATTAGCTGTCATGAATGAGCATACTCATTTTGATAAGTAATTTTTTGGCTAGGCATGATTGGGCATTACAGTAATCACAGCTACTAAGAAGGTGGGGATTTGGAAGATGCTATGCAAAGCAAACCCAGTTAAAATATTGAGGAGACACCATCTGAACAGATAAATGAGGATGGTGAGGCACACTTGTAATAAGTTTTTTGGAAGCATAGGAGGTTCATGGTCCAAGTTGACACCAAGCAAAAGAAAATATCTGAAAAATAACTAAAGAAATAAAGGTCTCTAGATATGGTTCAAGTGGTAGATTGCCTGCCTAGCAAGCACAATGCTCTGAGTTCAATTGCAGTGCCTCTAAAAAAGAAAAATATTTTTAAAACTAATTTTTAAACCACATAATTCATGAATACAGCACTGTGTAAATTCAATAACTGTAAAAGTGCAAATATTACCAAGTAGGATTCTTTCTTTGTAAATGTATGCATTATTCAGACTTTCCCCTCTGTGTTTATAGTTCACATATACTTAATTTTTTCATAAAAAGCATATTAGTCATTATTCTCAAACTTTTAATTTAAAGTGACTAGGAAATTATTCAGCAATATTGCCTGAAATTATCCACTGTCTGCAATGGCCATATATCAAAATATTTTGTGAGGTGTGTTCATTGACTGGTCGCCATTTAAGTTCTAGATAGAGTATCTTACACATAAATATGTCCATGTTTAACAATTTTTTCATGACAGTTTCCTGTGTGTAGATTGGCTGGATCAAACAGAATGCTAAAATTTTATTTAAAAGATTATTACATATTGTAGTGACTTAGAAAAACTTTATTCAGATTAACATAGGAAAAAACAATGGGAAAACAATTTATTATCTTATTTTTACTTTTTAAATATCAGTAATTTTGTTATATTTTGTGTTATTACTTATTTTCTCTGTCAACTGCCAATGTGTTGCTGTTATCCTTTGGCATATTGGATTGTTTATTTTTGATTGGTGCTTCAAAGTATTTCCCTTTATTTATTGTATTTTTCTTTACAAATGTGAAAATTATTATAGAAGTTGCATGAAGTGTTCTGCTGCACATTTTAATATAATTCCTCTAGCATGCTAAAATAAGTTTTAATTTATTTTTTAAATGAATTCATGATGTTGGATGGAGGATGTTTCTTGGGAGACTTGGATCATGGTCTTCACTCCAATACAAACAGCTATGTATTTCTCAATTTGAACCATGTTGATTGTGAAGTACATCTTAAATATGTACTTAAAGGGGGTCAGTGCAGTATTTGTGGTTTGCTTTTCATTTTTCCATATAATTTATATATTTTTAAAATATACTTAATTCTTGCTAATTATGGTCATAGTGTAAGTAGGCTTCAAGTAAAATGAAGACTGTTATTTTCAGGAATCATGAATGATTTAATTTTTCCATCATAGTTTTAAGAGAAAATTATGGCAACAGATTCCAAAGGAAAGAGGAAAATTAGACTTGAATTTGTAAAGAAGGATATGTATAACAATAACCATAATTTAAACACTCCCTAAACTTTGTTTACACATTACCTGTAGATAGCTAGTGGTGCTGGGACTTATTTTGGAAAAAGTGACCATATAAGTGCATATATACATTTGGTAGGATGAAAAATTCAACAAGTGAGATTTTATTTCAACCCTACTCTCTAACCTGCAATAAGAATGAGCATGTTAAGGTCAATAAAGAGTTAAAAGGAGAATCAATGAGCTCATCAAATCAGAGATTCCAAGTTAAATTTTACAGTAGAAAGCAGGTATTTACAATTATATTTCTAATTTTATTAGAAATGGCCTTGCTGGAAGAGAATATGGCTGACATTCTTCCTATACAAGAACGTATGTAGAATTTTTAAGCCTGCTGAAATCACTCTAGTAAGGGGAATAAGATAGAAAGGATATAAATAGAGGTGAGGAATCAATTTGAGCTATTACATATATATATATACTTATATACATGGAACTGTCACAATGAAGCACTTCATATTTTTGTTGGACAACAAAATTCCATGTTTTTATACAAAATAGAGAACAGGAATGCAAAACAAATCCTGTCTGGGGTGAAGGTATTAGTGGGTGGGGAGGATATAAGGAGAGTGGGATGAGAGAGGGTGAATAGGGTGGAAATATTCTGTATGAAATATTCATGTATGAAAATAGAAAAATGAGACCTGATAAAACTAATTCCAAAATGGGGGAAGGAGGATAAAAGAGAACGAATGAGAGAATGAATTCAACTTGATATAATTTAAGATATTTTGTAAATATCTCAATGTACCCTCAGTATAATAATGAAAATAAAATATAAAAAAGGAAAAAAATCACCTTGCTTGGATAAACATCTGATAAGGTTTTTTTTTTCTTTTTATGAAAGAAGTGATGCTGAGGCTGGAGGTAAAGTGAACACAAGCAGCACTACTGGTCTCCCAAATAAAAATGGAAAAAAGTGAACCTTGCTGCTCAAGTCTAACTGTTAAATACTTCTATAGAAATAGTAAAAATTAAAAAATTATATACAGAAAAACTTAGGGCAGGCATATCTGCAAAACTTATTGACACTGAGTAGACTTTTCAATGGTCTTGTATCCATATAAAACTAGTGAACCTTAGGAAAGAAAGCACAGTTAATTTTGTGGTGAATAACTTAAAATTTTCAAGCACAAATTTCAAAATAAACACTTGTGGTTTTATTTTTCTTTTCCTCATAATTTTTTCCTTATTCCTACAATATTCCATGTCTTAAACAAGTAGTAAACCCTTGAAACAATTTATTGACTTGACTTGACAAAGTAAGTTGTAAAATTTCTTGTCACTATACTAAGAAATGTCACATGACAAATTCTTCTAATAGGAATTCCCACTTCAGGCTTATATAAAACTAGTCCCTTTTTTTCTCTTTTCCAGTTTTTGTGTACTTCTGACAACAAATAAGGCAACATCTTGTGGTGATGAATATAACAGTTGCCACACAAACCAGCATGAACCCAATCACATCCAGAGAGTGGTACTGGAACCAGGTGAGATCGTGGACAGCTGGACGAAGATGCTTGGCTCCTTTGTGGCGCATGACAAACTCGATCCAGAAGACAGCTTGATCCAGAGGCTTTACTGGCTGATCGTGGTGAATTCTTGATAACCTCATAGCATTCTCTTTATAACTGAAAGAGAAGCAGAAAGATATCAACACCAAAGGGAATGTTAGCTTGCCTAAGCATATTAAATCATTGAAAGTTTCCAAAAATTGTCTTGCAAATGATTCATTATAAATGGCATAGATTTGCTGTGCAAGTGCTGTATTTTGCTTTTGTCTGTGTACAATGTTTTGTTTTTAATTAGGATATTCTGATTGACAAACTTTTTCCAAAGTGGAATGGAACATAAAGAGGGAAAGCTTAATATTTTCCATCAGAGGAGTTGAGAGTGAATGATTCTAAGTCCAGTGATTGAAACAGTAGGGATAAAATTTGGGATTATTGTCTGGAGGCTTTTAAAAAGGAGTTGTGTCATTGTGGGTGAAATGTCACCTTACCTGTCTCTCAGTTTCCACAATTCTCTTCTGTCCTCTATTTTCCCCCTAGTAGCCAAATGTGTATCTAACAGAACCAGTTAATTATGGTAATACATTCCTTAAAATACCAATCTATTCTCAAAACAATTGAAAAGGTCATATTCTGTTCTTTGACTCAGTGACTAAGTGGTCACAACTGGCAACATTTTCAATGATCACTGCACATTTGTCTCATGATATTTGTGCTCTAGCAGTACACTGAAGTCACCAATGGTGTTCATGTGGCACCTTTTTAACAATTTTCATGTCCTCTTTTCCTTAACTTGCACATTCTTCCATGATACACTATACATTTTGGTTTTTCTCATTATTGGGGAGTTATCTTAAATGTTAATTGACAGTACTTTTCTTATAAGTATTAGCTTAGCAATTTCATACATGGTAAATACAAATGTAATGTTACACTTTTTATTGGTGTTATGAATAGTCTTCAATATGTTATAGTAAGAGTTTCATGACTTGAAAAATATACATGTGTGTATTTGAATTTTCAAAATTAACCTGGCAATTTCATGCATTATATATTATTAATAAAATGTAAATATAATAAAATGAATTTTAAGCATTAGGTTAATATTTAGAAATGATAGTTATACAAGGAAAACTTTCCTTATTCTTTTTGTATGTAGACAAAATCATATTTTAAAATGTTTTGCTCTGTGGAGTGGGTGAATTCAAATATGAAGTATTTGATATATTGTAAGAATCTTTGTAAATGCCACAATGTATCTCTTCCCAGCCCAACCACAAAATAATAGTACTGTCATTGTTACAAATAGTTATGTACATCCAAAATTGTTGGTGTATTAGAAATTATTGCAGTAAGTGATTATCTATTTCATCCATATCAAATGCAAATTGAAAAGAACATTCTCTGTGAAAATAAAATCAAATTTCAAATGCATTTAATGATGTAAATCCTTTCAAAATAAACCTCCTTCAAAAGGGATGATACAGTCACTGATGATGATCACCTTTCTATTAATATGACCTAAAAATAATGCAGTTATACTCACAAAGGGTCATTGATGACTGTCTCCAACGCATTGAGAAGGTCTGTAGTTGACATTGTGGCAAAGTCCAGTCTAACAGCTGCTCCCTTGGTCTTCATATGAACAATATTGTCAGGTTGATCCCCAAACAAAGGAATGCCCACCATAGGGATCCCATGATGAATTGCCTCATAGACACCATTAGCTCCACCATGAGTTATGAAAGCTTTGGTTTTTGGATGACCTGCAATTGGATGAATTTCCACAAAATTCTTAATACATGTTTTAGAAATGAAGTGAGAAGGATGAAGTATAAAGCTTTAAAAGGTATAAGAGGCAGTGTGGCAATGTCCTCAAATAATAGATTATTACAGTTGTGGTACTGCATTGAAATTGTTTTATAATTTAGTACAAGAAGCACCTAAGTGTACTAGAGAAATAAGGGACTGCTACCTTGAAGACTGAAGAGGTTGTATTTGACTTGAGAATTTAAAATCAAAATAATATTGAAAAGAAGAGAAAAAAATGAAAACATATTTTTGCAAATTTTCAGGATGTGCCTATTTTAAAAAGTCTATGTGCATATTTCAGAGTATTTTTCCCATAAAGAAATAGTGAAGTGGTTCATATTGTCATGACAGGTGTCCATGGCAACAAGAAATGGGTTGGTTATGGTGCATGTATAAGAGAAAATAAAAGCCACCTTCATCATGAAATGTTTTACCACTTCATGATACAGTTTCCAGGGTTTATTTCAGTGGAAAATGGAGAGGCCATGGTAAAAAAAGACAGCATGATATTTTCACTGGCATTTGAAATTCTACTGAAGCAGGAGGAATGATAATGTAAGCTTTGGAAATATGAGACAGATATGGTACTCACATGCAGGAAGTTCCTTAAAAATTTTCAGAGAGGTAATTACACCTGAACTAAATAAGCTTTGATTCGGCTATAGGGTGTATGACTGTGAACACGAAAATCACATTGTTCATGGCTTATTTTTTCACTTCCTTAATCTTAAAAATGTATAAAGTAATTAGTGCTATTTTTTACTTTGAAATAGTAAATACTTAACTTGTTTCTTTTTGATATATTACCTTCCTGACTGGGTGTTTCTCATGTTCTCACTGTTTATTTTCTAGTCTTACCAAGAAGGTCATTCTGTGGGATCCACTTGTATAGCCGAGTATTGGATCCTAAAGTGTCTGGTTTCTTCCCATCATATCTCCAGAGAACCTATTGATACAGAAAATATCTTATTCTATCACTGAAATTTCAAAGTATACTATGCTTGACTTACACAAATTGAAAATATCAGTTGAATAACTTCCATGTGACAGATAAGGAAATTAAAAGAAGAGATTTTGGTATAATAAGTATTACTAAAGGACTGAATGGCATAGAGTATTTACATGCCCTGTACTCTTTTTGCAATGAATTGAATGCAATGTGGCAATGATATTTATACATAGTGTCTCAGAGAAATAGTATGATAAGTAACAAATTCCAGAATTTGCGAAAAGTTAAAGCAGCCAATATCATTCTACTGTGGAAAACCATACCTATTTACAAATAAATGGCTATGCCATTATTTTATTTGTTTATTTTATTCTAGCTCTCATTTTAAAAATTTGATAATACATTTCGATTGTCTTTTTAGTGATATGGGGAGGAAATTTCTTGTGTCCACTTGTTCTCTAAACTATTTATCATAATTAACTTTCATCTACATACAAAAGAAACAATGTGATGTAGTCAGCAATTTGTGAAAAATAAAATAAATTATTATAACTAGAGCATACATGCTACCATTGTAGATTATAAACCATCAAGTATTACCGCCCAAATTCAAATGGGCAATTTTGAGCATAATGCATAATTTATGAGTTTAGATAGATTTTGAAATTTCTCAGTGATAAAAAGAATAACAATATGACTGTTGAATAGAGACCCCCAATATTGTGACATTAGCAAATTTTGTTCAAATATCTGTTAAGACTTTAATGATATTGATGAGACTTGAAGACTACAATTTCTTGAGAGCAGTTATTTAAAAAGTCTTCTATATATCAAGACCATTTTCTTCCCTTCTACAAAACTAAGGACCTGAATTTCATTGTCAAGCAATCCTTATAATCTGAAATATAATTTGTAAGAGTTACATTACATATTGTAACTGAATGGCAAAATGACATTATGTTTAAAGAAAAAAATACTGGTTTAAGTGATTAGGAGAAGTCTGTCAAGAAACAGGAAACTAAAAAGTACTTCACAAACATGCATGTACCACAAGTGTACTGAAGTGTATTTTATAAATTAGACAAGATGTTACTCATAGACTTCTTTGAGTTGGGGGTTGTGAATTTCTTCCTATACAAGATTTGCTTCCTCTAGACTCTTTCCTTTTCCTATTATCTTCAAGCAGAAAGATGTATATTCTTGTGTGTTAGAAGCCAAGCTCTTGGGTAGTATACTTTCATTAAAGCGTCCACTTCAGAGTCAGGTCCAATCTCCACTTTTTAAAAATATTTCTCTGTTTCTGACATTTGCCATGTCTGTTCATCAGGGCAAACTTTCTCCTTCTCTAAATGTATTTTGTAAGACAGCAATTGAGTTCAAGTTGGTGAATTCTGCTTACTCTTCTTGAATAGCTCCCATTAGCTGAATCAACCTATACTAAAATTATGGTGTGTGAATGAACTGTGCTATATTGGACACTGAAAATACATGATGAAATTTAGTTTGCTTTTGAAAACTCCTTAAAATTATTGCTAGTCCAGTTACTAATAAACCCTTGGTTACTTTCTGATATCTATAATATACACAGTACTCTCAGGAATTCTTCATAGAAAAGGAACAAATAATAGTGCAGAAGTTGGTGGTTGCTGTGTATCTGCCTGCAGCTCCATTCTGATACCAATTTTTCACTGTACCTGTTTATATAACCTTTCAGTTCATAATGGTAGTGCCCAAACTATTTTCAAGACAAACAGCCTCTGTACTATTTTATCATCTGCTATGTATATTTCTGTTTTATGATTTATAAGATGAATTTGAGATATAAAAATTTGCTTTTCAGGGCTTGTGCCAATTGTACAGGCATTCTATACTTGAGCCATGTCCAGGACAAAAATTTATTTTTGACATGCGAAGTTTTTGCAGTCAAATCTTTTTCAGAGTCTAGGAAACTAATTATGCTAATGTCCACCAAACAGGCAATTTTTCTTACCTTTTGTGGAATCTGTGCGAGGGCTGATGCAATCACATTGGCCCTTTCTTCTGTCAAGTTACTGACCATTGACCCAAGAGAAAAAACCACAACACCATTTTCTTCAGAGCTCTGGACAAAGTCTTCCATTTCCTATGAAGAAAGAATTTGATCTCTTACAACAGAGCAACAACACAGCAAACACTTCTGAAAAGATTGTTAAACCTAAGGAGAGAAAAATCAAGTATTATCAGGAATTATTGGTGTAATGGTCATGATTCATTTTCTTTGGAAGATTTTTAATATGACAGAAATGGTCTCTCTTATGTCTGTTTCTGTGAATATGTGTGCATTTATATGTTTGTAGAGGAAGAAAAGAAATTAAATCCCTAGACAATGATTATGGTAGTGATGTTAGAAATTGTTCTATTCCCACTGCTCATGTATAGATGTACTATTCTTAATGTATTTTCTCTGAGTTAGGAGTTAGAGCTAGTTTATTACTTGGCTTTATTTATAATCATTGCACCTGTCTTAAATCACTTGGGATGATCCTGGTAGGATATCAGAAGAATTATTACAGTTTGTTGTCATTAGTATATTACTTCCCTCATTGTAAGCACTCTGGATAAGTGGTCAAATTGGTTTTATACCTATATTTTCTCATATTTAGAATACTTTTTCTTCATCCTACAGTTATTGAGGGTTTACCCAAATTTTCTGCTATAATATCCTTAATAGACAGAGATTAAGAATAACACACATATATAAAATGGAAATGTGCCTTCGATTTTACTTAAAATAACCATAAATATTCTATTCGTTTCCAGAACTATATATATTCATATTAAAACTAAACATGGTTCAAATTAACATTTTCACTGCATTGGAACTATCCAGATTTCTGTGAACACAATTCTGGGATTGTTTACCTGTGATACTTTTTGCCCTGATATCAGGCCCAAATTGGCAAATTAATATTATTTATTATAAAAATACTATACTTGTCTTGAACTTGCTACGTCACAAGAGAAAATTGATGGTAGTTTATTCCAGCCATATTGTGGCTTTCTCTTCTACAAGGAGAATACAATTCAAATACTTACATGATAAAATGTATCATTTTAAAAACAACCATATTAAATATTTCCCCTACTTTTTAAAAGTGGAGCTAGGGTCTTTAGATAGCAAAATTTAGTGATTCATAATTACAGTATATGATAGAAACAAAAACATGAATATTACAACAGTGATTATCTCTGCATCACTATATACGAGGGGCATTTTGAGTCTTTTTTGAGTATTAACCAGTTTTTTTCCACATAACACAACATGGGGTTTGACCACTGATATATTAGTTTGCATAGTCATCTCTGTGAAACTTTTAGTCTACTTACCATCATCTGTTGGCTTAATTCTTGCAGCAATTTCCTAAATTGTTCTCCTTTACATTAGCTTGTTCTGCTGTAATACAACCAGGTGACAGTGTTTTGAGAGAATCTTTAAAATGAAAATCTCATTGTATGACTCCCATGCTTAGCACATTTGATTGGCTGTCCAGCTCCATCAATATGTGCTTTGAATTCATAATGGTTTTCTCTCTTCAATTTATCTCTCCAGCATCATTTGACTCTGTTCATCCTTATCACACTAAATTTGAAGCTCTTGAGAGATCTGACCTTGTGATTCTGTGTATCATTTTATTTTATTCATCTATTTAATTTAATTTTAGTTTTTAATGTCTTCCATTTCATCTCATCCCTTTTCTGGTTTTTCACATTGTTGATGTCTCACCTTAGTTACTCAAGCATTCTAGGATATATTCTGTGATCACTGATGATCTTTCCTTAACATCCCTATATTCATATCTGTCTCATATCTCAGACATCCTGAATGAAGAATGTATACTCATTTACAACAAAACTGCAGAACAAACGAATCACAGTAACATGAATAGGTTTACCTTAGGCAAGGGTTTGGCAGGCTTGCACTGGAGTCCTCCAACAAAGACAAAATTTGGTAAGAATGGACGAGGGAATTCCAAATCCCAGTAGCTTCGAAGAAGCCATATGTCAGCTTTCCCCATTGTCTCATGTAATGTAGTGGGTCTCCCTAAATCAAGAAAATAATATGAAATGCAGTATAATGAGGAAATTTTATCTGTAATATATCGTGTTATTTCTTGAAATGAGTTAGAATAATGTCAGCAAGATGTTTAATTATCATGGTTGATTTAAAAATGTATTAAAAAACCCTGAAATTACAGCTTTCTTCATTATAAATAAAGATATGATTTATTTAATTACAAAGAGCCTCTCATGGCATTATTGATAAATATCATAATTTCTAAGTGAGGAACTGAGCAACACAAGAGGAAACAATTTCCTTAATGCTTTTTAGAGATTTAGGCTCATAAATCAGGTATAAGCACTTAATGGACAAATCATTAATCATTAAGTCACATACTGAGGCTAAAAATTACTGTACCTTAAGACACATGAAAAGTATAGCAAAGGCATGCATAAATTCACTGTGAAAATTTCAGTGGTTCAAGACCATGGAGTTCTACATAGCTCCACGATATAAGCATTTCCACAATATTTCTGAGATTAATTGATCATTTTATAATTGCATTTCACCTCTTGATTTTATGTTCACTCACATTCAAAGGGACAGTATTAGGATTTCACAGTAAAAATTTAAAAATACAACTTACCTAGAACTTCACTATAAAAGTGATTCCACTTTTCATCAAATACTTGGAACCAGAAGTCAAAGAACAAAACAAACAGCATATTTTTTACCCGATCCACAAATGTCATTTGATCAGTTAGCTCAGACATAACAACAGGCACATAGGAAGGAGGCACAGGGAGTCCTCCACTATACTTCTCATGTGTATTGCCAGGAAGGAAGCGGAGAGTGTACACAAAAGGGATGTTCAGTAGCTCAGCCAGCAGCTCACCACAGGGAACCACAGCATCTGCAAGAAGGACATCAAACCTTGACTCTTGTAGTTTTGTCATAAGTTTCTTGTTCAAAACTATATCTCTGCACTGTGTTTCCATAATATCAGAATATTCCTTAAGGAAATTTTGCATTACTGAATAATATGTCCAAAGTGAATATTTTGGAAAATCATATATCCATTCATTGATCATTTTTTTGAAAAAAACTTCTAAACTATTTTTGTTCAAAGATGTAGGGCAAGCCTCAAATTTAATATTAGATGATTTGCTTGAATCAATATGAACAGAAATTGATGATGTCAAGACAGTCACTTCATGTCCTCTATGCACAAGTTCATCCAGGATTGTCTTTACATTCATCCAATGACTGTAATCCATGGGCAACACTACCACCTTTCCACAACTACCAGAACTAAAGTAACACATCAGTTGTATCATAAGAACTGAAGTCCATTTCATAGACATCTTGGTAAAATTGAATGCTTCTTTTGTATTTGCTGTTTATCTCTGAAATTTCATGCTTATAAGCAAGGACAAAATGATCAAGAAGTTAATGTATAATCCCTCCACTTCAAAGTTAATAAATAATAAGAGTTAAATCATATCGTTCTCAGATTAACGAAAAAAGGTAAATGAACTCAGGGTTATAAAAGTTCGTTTGTCTAATTTGTGTTTGTAAGTGCCCTATTCAAATAAAATTAAACAATCTTGATATGTACTTCACCTGTCTTAAAGTTTACATTTCATAGTGGCATTAAAGAAAGTGATCCCAAGAGGCTCTTGTGTCTGTAGTCTCCTATACATAGTACCAAATATCAAATAATAGTACAGGTTAATTACTGTATCTTGGATATTATGACTCAATTTTAATTTTACAATTTTGATTATAAGTAACACATACATAATTCAAAAATTTAATGTTTATAATGCAATGGTTTATATATATTCCATGAATTGTGCAATTATCAAAGTAACTCAATTTAGATAGTATCATCTTCCATCATAAAATACCATGCCATTTAGCCATTAATCCCACCTTGCTGAATTCTTGCATGTCACAGTCTTAGGCAATGACAAATCTACTTTTTGTCTGGATTGATTTGCAACTTCTGGAAATGTGTTGATATAGTTATGGATTCTAATATCAATACAATTGACCTTTATCTCTCTATGTTCCTATTATACACTTCTTGATTACGATAGATTTTCTGTGTTCTTTGAAATCAGGAACTGTTAGTCTTCCAACCTTGTTGTGTTTAAGATAGCCTTTGATATTTTTAGGTTCCTTGAGTACCTAAATGTGTTTTAGGATCATTTCATTAATTCATGCTAAAGAGTTAATTGACATTTTAATAGACCTTTTCTAAATTAACATGTCATTTAGTAGATTTTAGCAATTAAAACAGTTAAATGTATCAATATAGGTATATGAGAAGAAGGGATTCCAAGGTGGCAGCTAGAAGGAGGAAGCAGAAAGTGAGCCTCCTATAGTGAAATCTTGGAGAGATGCTGGAGACACACTTTGCAGGCATAATCACTGAGAAAAGGCATAACTTTGACCCCTCCACACCTCCAACCGGCGCAGAGAATCTCCACTTCACGTTAAATGGACAAACCAGGAGGGCCCCCGGGCCGCCAGTTACCGATGCCCAGACTGCTTGGGAAGACATGGACCAGGTGAGCTTTGCGGTACCACGGTACTCCCACAGACAAGCCTGGACCAGAGCAGCATAGCCCCCTGGACAGACTGACCTCCACCTGGGGAAAAAAAAGAAACTGACTAATAAGCAATAAGAACAATAAAGACACGCAGGAAAGAGGGTGGGGCGTACTGAGCGCCGAAGATTGGGGGAAGGGAATCCTTCCCAGGACTGTAAATATACAAGCCAGTCTGGCTGGAGAGCCTCTGGCGGGAGCGGGGGCACACGCCCAGCAACCAGGAATGGGAAAGCTTGTGAGAGTGACTGAGGGAGGAAAATTCCACAGGAGAGGAGGGAAGACCAACTTCCCATGTGAGCTGTAAACAAACATGGCGGCTGGCAGGAGCAGCAGCACTGCCCAGTAATCAGGAGCAGGAAAGCTTGTGAAAGCAGAGGTGGGAGGAGAACTGCACAGGAGAGGGGGAAAGAACCACCTCCCACATGAACTGTAAATAAACATGCAGGCCTGAGAACACAGGTGCAGTGTCACCTTTCCCAGTGCTTGGAAAGGGGAAAGCTTGTAGCAGAGGCTCACACACAGGAGAAATCTGAGCAACCAAAGCCTGCAGGGCCAGGTGGTGCTAAGCTCACCCCTGAGATCTGAATAAATAATGCCTCCAGCAACAGCAGACTGACAGCAGCAGGCAAGCAAGCCACAGTTGCAGATACCATTCTCAGAACTGTCTCCAGACTCTTTTTTTTTCTTTGTCTCCCTACCTTTGATGAGAGAACAACCAAATTATACCTGCAAGCTGAAAAACTTACTGAAACTGTATTGCATTTGAACATGGGACACTTGGTAGGGTTTTTTTGTCCGTGTGTGTGCAGTTTTGTTCTACTTTATGCGTCCCCTTTGATGAGACAAATACAGAACAACATCTGAGGCACCATCTCCAGGACTGGAGACTGAAACAGACACCCAAACTATTAAGACTGAAACTTCATTGCATTTGAACTTGGAGGTCTTTTGGTTTTTTGGTTTTTTGTTTTTTTTAAATTTTCTTTTTTTCATTTTATTTTAATACATTTTTATATATAGATTTTTCTTTCATTTATTTATTTTTTATTTTTATTCTTATCTTTATTTTTGATTTTCAATCCTCTCTCTGTCTCTCTAATGTCTGTTCAGCTTACTGTTGATTAGTACACTAAAGCTCGCTGTTTATACCTTTGAAACCTTCTTGTCCGATACCTTGTTCTGTTTTCTCCTTCCAGTCTGTGTATTTGTTTTTCCCATTTCTTTAACTTCTTGCTTTCCATCTCAGCTCACCCTTCCATTCTAAATATTACCATTGTTATTATTACAAACTAGAAAATACTTAATTGCACACAGTACAGGGACAGTAACAACACCAAAGACAATGACAGGAAGACAGAAAAAACAGGGAAATCAGTTTCCCCATAGCAAAAAATTAGTACAGGAACCAGAGGGGAATGAAGAAAACAGATACTCAGATCCAGACTCCAACAAAATGAAGATAAACTATGCCAAAGGACCCAATGAAGCCCACAAAAATAATTTAAAAGAAGACATACTACAGGTACTCAATGAGAATTTTATAGAGATGATACTGGATAGGGTCAACCAAAATGTACAGAAGACACTCAAGAAATTCCAAGACAACAAAAATAGAAAATTTGAAAAAGAAAAAGAAGAAATAAAGGAAACCATAGAAGCACTGTATAAACACCAAAGTGAAAGAGAGAAAATGATGAATAAACAGATAAATGAACTCAGGACAAAAATAGACAACATTAAAGAGGAAACCACCCAGGATATGGAAAACCTCAGAAAAAACAATGAAACAGAACTGCAAAACAAAACGGAAGGCCAATCCAGCAGAATAGAAAACACAGAAGACAGAATCTCAGAACTTGAAGATGAAATGGTAATTAAAGGAAAAACCAAAGAACTATTAATTAAACAACTCAAGACCTGTGAAAAGAAAATGCAAGAACTCACTGACTCCATCAAAAGATCAAACTTGAGAATCATGGGCATAGAAGAAGGAGAACAGGGGCAAGCAAAGGGAATGCGTAATATATTCAACAAAATAATAATGGAAAATTTCCCAAATCTAGAGAAAGATATTCCCATACAGATGCAAGAGGCCTCCAGGACACCAAACACACCAGATCAAAATAGAACTACGCCACGACATATCATCATTAAAACAACAAGTTCAGAAACTAGGGAAAGAACATTGAAGGCTGTAAGAGAGAAAAAAAATAACATACAAAGGTAAACCCATCAAAATCACAGCAGACTTCTCCACAGAAACATTAAAAGCAAGAAGAGTGGGGTGAGATCTTCCGGGCACTGAATGAAAATAACTTCAACCCCAGGATACTCTACCCAGCAAAACTATCATTCAAAATAGATGGAGCAATAAAAGTCTTCCATGATAAGCAGAAACTAAAACAATATGTGACCACAAAGCCACCACTACAAAAGATTCTTCAAGGGATTCTGCACACAGAAAGTGAAACCCAACTTAACCATGAAAAGACAGGCAGCACCAAACCACAGGAAAAGAAAAAGCAAGACAGTAGAGAGTAATCAACTTAGGTACACACAATCAAACCTTCAAACAACTAAGACAACTAAATGACAGGAATCACCACATACCTATCAGTACTAAACTTAATGTTAATGGACTTAATTCACCCATCAAAAGACACCGTTTGACAAAATGGATTAAAAAAGAAGATCCAACAATTTGTTGCTTACAGGAGACCCATCTCACTGATAGAAATAAGCATAGGCTTAGGATGAAAGGCTGGAAGAAGATTTACCAAGCCAATGGCCCCTGAAAACAGGCAGGAGTAGCAATACTTATCTCTGACAAAGTAGACTTCAAACCTACATTGATCAAATGAGATAAAGAAGGACATTCCATACTAATAAAAGGGGAAATAGACCAAAAGGAAATAATAATCATCAATCTGTATGCACCCAATGTCAACCACCCAATTTCATCAAACATACCCTGAAAGACCTAAAAGCATATAAATGCCAACACAGTGGTTGTGGGAGACTTTAACACCCCATTATCATCAATAGATAGGTCATCCAAACAAAAAATCAATAAAGAAATCCAAGATCTAAAATATGCAATAGATCAAATGGACCTAGTTGATGTCTACAGAACATTTCATCCAACTCTACACAATATACATTCTTCTCAGCAGCCCATGGAACCTTCTCCAAAATAGATCATATCCTAGGGCACAAAGCAAGTCTCAGCAAATATAGAAAATAGAAATTTACCGTGCATACTATCTGATCACAATGCAGTAAAAGTAGAACTCAACAACAAAAGTAAAGACAAAAAACATGCAAACAGCTGGAAACTAAATAACTCATTACTTAATGAAGAATGGATCATCATGAAAAAAGAGGAAATTAAAAAGTTCCTGGAAGTCAATGAAAATGAAAACACAACCTACCAGGAACCTATGGGACACAGCTAAGGCAGTCCTGAGAGGAAAGTTTATAGCCATGAGTGCATATATTAAAAAGACTGAAAGATCCCAAATCAATGACCTAATGATACATCTCAAACTCCTAGAAAAACAAGAACAAGCAAATCCCAAAACAAATAGAAGGAGAGAAATAATAAAAATAAGAGCTGAAATCAATGAAATAGAAACCAAAAAAACCATACAAAGAATTAATGAAACAAAAAGTTGGTTCTTTGAAAAAATAAACAAGATCGATAGACCCCTGGCAAACCTGACTAAAATGAGGAGAGAAAAAACCCAAATTAGTAGAATCAGGAATGCAAAAGGGGAGATAACAACAAACACCATGGAAGTCCAGGAAATCATCAGAGACTACTTTGAGAACCTATATTCAAATAAATTTGAAAATTAAAGAAATGGACAGATTTCTAGATACATATGATCATCCAAAACTGAACCAAGAGGAAATTAATCACCTGAATAGACCTATAACACAAAATGAAATTGAAGCAGCAATCAAGAGTCTCCCCAAAAAGAAAAGTCCAGGACCTGATGGATTCTCTGCTGAATTCTATCAGACCTTTAAAGAAGAACTGATACCAACCCTAAACTGTTCCACAAATAGAAAGGGAAGGAAAACTGCCAAACACATTTTATGAAGCCAGTATTACACTTATCCCAAAACCAGGCAAAGACACTCCAAAAAGGAGAACTATAGGCCAATCTCCTTAATGAACATTGATGCAAAAATCCTCAACAAAATAATGGAATTCAACAACACATCAAAAAGATTATTCACCACGACCAAGTAGGCTTCATCCCAGGGATGCAGGGGTGGTTCAACATACGAAAATCAATAAACGTAATAAACCACATTAACAGAAGCAAAGACAAAAACCACTTGATCATCTCAATAGATGCAGAAAAAGCCTTTGATAAGATCCAACATCATTTCATGATAAAAGCTCTAAGAAAACTAGGAATAGAAGGAAAGTACCTCAACATTATAAAAGCTATATATGACAAACCTACAGCCAGCATTATATTTAATGGAGAAAAACTGAAACCATTCCCTCTAAAATCAGGAACCAGACAAGGATGCCCACTATCTCCACTCCTATTCAACATAGTACTGGAATTCCTAGCCAGAGCAATTAGGCAAGAAGAAGGAATAAAAGGAATACAAATAGGTAAAGAAACTGTCAAAATATCCCTATTTGCAGATGACATGATCCTATACCTTAAAGACCCAAAAAACTCTACTCAGAAGCTTCTAGACATCATCAATAGCTATAGCAAGGTAGCAGGATATAAAATCAACATAGAAAAATCATTAGCATTTCTATACACTAACAATGAGCAAACTG